AATTTAAATCTCACTTAATTTCACAAGAGTCCAGGGAGGTAGCTGTCATTTCCCCCATTTTATAAAGGCAGCAGCTACGGAGAGAGCTGGTCAGAGACTTGCAGGGTTCAAACCTAGGTAGTCTGGCTGCCACGCTGCCTGTCCTACAGCAGACCTTGGCTGGCTGTTGTCATAAGGTCCTGGGTAGGGCCTGCCTTGAGCTGCTGCAGCAGGAATATGGAAACTCCCATTTTAAGTTTCCCCCCTCCCTGGGACCTGGATGGGTGTCCACTTTCATTCTCACTGCTCTTGGATTTGGGGCACCACCTGTGAGTGGACTGTGCAGGGCAGACAGGCACATGGGCCTGGGCTGAGGGAAATCAGCCTGGTGAAAATCAGGTGGTGGGGAGGGAAGGACTGAGGCCAAGTGATGAGAGGCCTTGCTGCTCAGCACATCCTGGCTCCTCACAGCATATCCTGTCCCATGACACAGATTCTGCGGGGCCTGGTCCTAGGGGGAGGACTTGGTGGGGAGCTTCCCAGGAGGCCTGCATGGTCTGACATCACCAGTCATCTTAGCCAGATGACCGTCCTTCTGTGCATCTCTGTTGAAGCCACAATGAGGGAGACCTGAGTGGAGGACTTTCCAGACAGGAAGTGTATCCTCTCCTATGGCTTTGGCCTCAGAGGGCTATGGTTCGTCTGTCATGCTGTTGAACCTCTGGAATGATGACCAGCTCCCGGGCGGGTGGTTCTAATCCTGGCCCCTGCCTTTGCCTCTAACAGGCTCGGTGACCTTTGGCAAGTTACTTGCTTTCTTCAAGTCGTCTTCTACCCACAGAAGGGGTGGCTGGGTTATCGATTGCTAAGGTTCCTTCCAGCTCTGATGGAGGTGGTTTCTCAGGTGGGACAAAGGCACAAGTCTTGGCTTCTAATCCTGGGGCTTTACAAATACCTTTTCCTCTGACAGTGTGCTCTCTGGCCCTGGCCTAGAAGTGGATGGAAGAGGAAAGAGTAAAGTTAATGAGTAAACCCAAGGCTCTGATTTTTGATAGAAGCTGGCTGAGGGTGAAGGTTGTTTACAGAGATGGTCACCTGTCTGGTTAGTGGCAGGGCATTGCTGCCTGACTTCCACCCAATGCTCATGGCTCTGCTGCTACTTTCATTTTAACTGCCTCCTGCCCCAGCCTGATGCATTTAGGAGGTAGAAGGCTCCATTGCTGGGGTCCAGCACAACAAGTTAAGAATTTCAACTTCAATGATAGCCACAGCATAATGAAACAAGAGTGTCTGCCTGGGTGAAGTCCAGCTTCCAAACCCTTTCCCTCCTCTCAAACCATAAACAAAACCAAAAACTTAGCTGAACTGGACTGGGGCACTTGAGGAGTGGGTGGAACCAGAGGAGCACTTCCGCTGGCTTTCAGTGTCCCAGTGTGTGTGCTTCAGTCTATGTTCAGGAGCCAAATGCAGATTACTAGTACTTTTTGATTATCCATTGTTTATTATTATCTGTGCTTTTGAGTTTACCACACCCTTTCCTCCCCCTGTCTTCCAACACCCTCGCCCCTTACAGTGGCTGGAAATTAATTGTATCTTGAATACTCGCTTACTTTCTGAGAGACTTGTGACCAATTCTATGCTCAACGGTCAGCATTTGTTAAAATATCTGACCTTGTGATGGGAAGAGGAAAGGATGGGGATGGAGAACAGTCCAGGGGTCTGAAGAGTCAAGCAGCTCGGTGGATCCCCTGGAAACCCTCCATTAATTAGAGAGGCGTGCTGTCACTGCGGAAGACTGAGGGGCCTCATGGCCTCTGGTTCAGGATCTTGGTGAGTTCTGGGCCTTGGCCTTAGCACCTTAGGGCTGCTGCTGATCCCCACAGCACCTTTGAGAAAACTTGAAAAATTTCTCTTTCTCAGGTTAAAAAGAAAAATTAAACTGAATATATTATTGTAAAACCTGAACAACATCCAATTGCATAGGATAGCCTTCTAGAACCCTGGCAGGCAGGGCCCTGGATGTGTATATACCTGTGCTCATACCCCTCCCCCCTCCCAGTGAGGGAAGTATGTATGTCAGTTTCAGACTCTGGGAGAAGGCCTGGGTGAAAGGGCATGTGAGAACAGTGGACAGGTGAGGAAAGTGATCTCAGGGGATGCTCAGAGCAAGGTTGGAACAAGATGTGGCCATGTACCTATGGGTGTGTGTGTGTGTGTGTGTGAGAGAGAGAGAGAGAG